CAAGCGCCCTACCCACTAGACTTTCTCTCCAGCTCCAGTTCTCTTCCCTTTTTGCTATGGTGATTTCTATGTTTAAGCTTAGGACATATTTGATTGTGTTACTCATCAGAGTGGCATGTGAGGTGGTGGTGAGGGTCCAAATAGAAGGCTTGAGTTGCAAAGCAGATACTGAGCTATCTGCAGGACCTTCTTCTGGTTCTCTGTGGTTTTATAGTTGCTTTGGAAGGAGAGCCCTTCCCTATGCAATTACATAAACTTCATTTTCTTTTTTTCTTTCTTTTTCTTTCCTTTTCTTTGCTTTTTGGGTCACACCCGGCAATTCACAGGGGCCACTCCTGGCTCTGCACTAAGGAATTTCCCCTGGCGGTGCTCAGGGGACCATATGGGATGCTGGGAATCGAACCCGGGTTGGCCACGTGCAAGGCAAAAAACCTACCCACTGTGCTATCACTCCAGCCCCTAGACTTCATTTTCTTTCCGTTTGTCACACCCTGATATAATCTGTGGAGGGGACTTCCAGTTTATTGACGGGGAGTTGCTCCCCATGGTGCTCAGATGATCACGGTGCTGGTCATCTTACCACAACCTCCAGCATGCAAAACATGAACTCAGCCCCCTAAGCTATCTCTTTGTCCCTGCTTCCTCTTTCCTTTACAGTCATTTCAAAAATAGTGTTTTTTCTTATCGCAGAGCAGTCATCCAACTGTCAGCACGTTTTTTCAGAAAAGAAGAAACTCCTTTGGGTTGGAGGATGTGGTTCAGTCAATGGTAGAGTTCCTGTCTTGCATAAACGAGGCCTTTGTGATTCCAGTAACCAAGTGTGTGACTGACTTTTGAACATGAGACTATATCAAAAAGAGAAGGAAACAGAGAAACAAAAGAAAATACCTTGTAGAGATAAATGGCAAACTTGAACCCAACAGCCTAGCCTCATTTCTTATCCTTTCTGTGTGTGTTTTTGTGTGCCACATCTGACTGTGCTCAAAGCTTGCTCTTGGCTCTGCTCAGGGATCACCCCTAGTAGTTCTCAATGGAACCTATTCGATATAAGAGTCCTAACTCATGTCAGTTCTGTGCAAGACAAGCAGCTGCTGTACCATATTCCTGACTCATAATTCTCATTTCTGTAATTTCCTCTTTTTTGCTTTTTGAGCCCTTTTCAGTGTTTCTCAGGGCTTATTCTTGTCTCTTCACTTAGAGATCACTCCTTGTGGGGCTCAGGGAACCATATGGGATGCCAGGAATCAAATCTGGGTTGGGCTTGTGCAAGGCAAATATCTATCTTATGTGCTACACAATCTCTTCAGCCCATCATTTCTGTACTTTCTATATTTTTCTGAGTTTCCATGTTCGTATGTAGACACGTATAGCGGGGGTAGGGAGGTTGGTTGATTTTTCTGCTTGTGCCACGCCTGGCAGATCTCAGGAGCTAAATATGACTCAGTGTTCGTGGGTTTCTCCTGATAATGCTGGGGAACATGCAGTGCTGGGGATCAAATCCAGACTTAGCCAAATTCCCATCACTCACAAATACAGTTTTCCAAAATTTGATTGACTTATAATATCCTTTTGGACAATAGCTTTTTCTCTTGTGTTATCTACAGTTTCTCTCCCAACAGTGCCGCCGCGTTCTTCCTTATCAAGACATGTACTTTACCACTAGAGTCTCTTCCCCTGCGCCCTCTAGTGGCTTTAAAAATTATTAATGTTGGGGGGATGGGGGTGGGAGGGATATTATCCATGGTGGTGGAAAATGGGCACTGGTGGAGGGATGGGTATCTGATCATTGTATAATTGAAACCAAAGCACAAAAAATTGTAAATCTACAACTTTAAAAAAAATAAAATAAAATAAAGGGAAAAAAAATTATTAATGTTACAGTTTAGGTAGCATGGTTACAGCCTTAAGTTTTATGTATTTGTGGGTTTTGGGGAGTGGAGGGTGGGCAACACCCTGCAGTGCTCAAAGCATACTCCTAGCTATGCTCAGGGATTACTCCTGGCGGGGCTTGGGGGAACCGTAAGGGATCAAACCTAGGTAAGGCTCATGCAAAGCAATTGCCTGCCTCTCTGGCCCCTTAAAATATTTTTTAATTAAAGCATTTTTAAATTTTAGCCCTACTTGATGTACTATTTCTCAGGGTCCTGTAATACGTTTTCTTCTGTTTTCTTTGTTCTCTTTTAAATGCTGGGGCCACACAAGGCTCAGGTCTGTGCTTGGTGATCACTGCCATCCCCCATTTCCCGCTTGCACATCATTTGCTCAGCCCCTTCAGCTATTTCTTAGGCCACAGTCTGGAGAAAAAATGATAAGTTAGTAGAGCAGGTAGGGAGCTTGCTTTGGACATGGCGCTCCATATGGTTCCCTGAGCCCTGACAGGAGTGATCCCTGAGTCCAGAAATAAGCCTTAAGCAACATCAGTGTGGTCCCAAACTAAAAATTGACAAGTTATTAAGTGTATATTAAAACTTTATTTTTATTTTGAAGAAGGGCCACATATGGAAGTACTCAGGGGTTACTCCTGGTTCTGCATTCAGGAATTACTCTTGGAAGTGCTCAGGTAACAATATGGGATGCTGGGGATTGAATCCCAGATTGGATGTGTGCAAGATAAATTCCCTCCTCAATGTACTATTGCTCCAGCCCCTTTATTTTTCTTTTTTTGAAGCAAGATAGTTTTTTATTGAAACTTACTTAGAAAGATTGAGGCAGAGACGAAGAGAGGAAGTATGTCTTCAAGATAGAACATGAACTTCCAAGGGCAATCAAGCAAGGCAGAGACAGGCAAGCAAGGTATGTGTTCAAGGGAGAACACAACTTGAAGAGCAAGTCACAGTAAACTTTATAAGACCTTGAAAACCGGGATCAGAGAGATGACTCAAATTGGTTAGAGCACTGGGCACCACTGCATGTGGCCCGAAAAAAAAACCAAAAAGACCCCACAAACCATCTTCCAGGATGACTCTTGACACTACATTCCCAGCGAAATGCATGAGTAAGGGACTGGAGCAATAGTATAGCAGATACGGCACCTGCCTTTCTCAGGGGTGACTTGGGTTCGATCCCTGGCATCCCATATGGTCCCCTGAGCCCAGCCAGGAGTTATTTCTCAGTACAGAGCCAGGAGTAACCCCTGGGCATCGCCGGGTGTGCCTCCCTCAGATGAAAGAAAGAAAAATAGAAATGTGAAATGTTAGTGAATCCATTTCTCTATTTCCTAGTCATCTTTGGCTTCAGTATTATTTATTTTTGTTGTTTTATTTCGTTTTGGGGACCATACCTGGAAGTGTTCAGGGCTTACTCCTGACTCTATGCTCAGAGGTCACTCCTGAATCCAGGACAAAGCTATCCCAGCTTCAATAGGGGAGAATCTAGAAATCATTAAGTATGGTCTTGATACAAGCTGTAGTGACCTAAAGAACAGGACCCCATGACGTAGTTAAACCGGCCTGAGGATTTAGTCTGGGATTTATAGTAAAAGTCCAGCTGCTTTTAACCTTAGCCCCCAGAACCCAGAGAACTAAGTTTTAGAATCTATATTTCTTACTGTGTCTATTCAAATAACTGCAAATATTAATAAGTAAACTTTTAATGTGATTGTTTAATGTAATAGCAGCAAGGGAAAGAGAAAAGCATCCCCTGAGCAAATTTCTCAGTATAGTCTCAGATTGAATGTCTCCTTGAGTTAATCTCTCCCAAAAAATTGCCTCCATCAAAATGCTTTACCTTTGTAAATTGTAAAAAATCTTTAAGGGCGGCCAGGGGGGCCCCCTACAGCTCTTCCCCTAGCCGCCCGCAATTCGGGATGGGCCAGGGTCACTCACCCAGCCGAGGCAGCTGGACCATGGGGCAGACGGCGGACAAAATGAGGGCCAAGCCGGTTGATTGATCAGTTGTCGTTTATTCCATTCTCCCAACGCGCCTGTCCCAGTCTCTCTGAGCCTCCTATTATTCTGGTCTCACACTGCTCCTTATTCCCGTCTCCTCCTGTCTCTCCCGCTCATCTCTCTGCGCTCCATCTCGCAGCTTGTTCTCTCTCTCTCTCTCTCTCTCTCTCTCTCTCTCTCTCTTTCTCTCTCTCTCTCTCTCTCCACGTGCCTGCTCCAATATCCTTCTACATTCTTCTCTCTCTGTCCCCCTTGCTAGCCTCTCCGAGGTCCATCTAGCCGCCCTACTCTCTTCTCTCTCCAGCTCTCTTGTCTCTCCAACTCCCCAGCACTCTGGGATGACACTGAACCCAGTCAGGTAGCAAAATCAACATAAGAAAGCCCTTCCTGACTGCCCCAGGCAAAATACCTCCTAAGGTGGTTTTCTCTTTTCCTCAGTCCCATAACTATCAACATCTTAATACTAGTTACAGCACTCAGGCCAGATTAATCATTCCTAACCCTAGCAGGGTCCAAATCTAGTTATTACTTTTTGTATCATGACCGCATTTGTCCATGACCAAGCTCTTAACTTATAGTTAAGCATTATGGCACTTTGGCCAGGCCCATCTCAATGCCAGGGTAGCACATAGCTTACCACTTGCCCTGGTTCCATCCAGTCCCTCATCGGGACCCTGCTTTTGGGGGCGCTAAAGGAAATAAAGGCAGCTGAGGCTTAGGTGAGAGAACAGATGCCCAGGAGGGAAATATCACTGAGAGTCACATTACAAAAGCATGTCTTCTTGTGTCCATACGAAAAGGACATTGCTCTGAATAAACTATGCAAAGGACTTAGGGAGAAGAGAAAAACAATATTTACAAGTCAACAGAGCACATTGAAAGAAGTTACAAATAAACACAGAGGAATGGGAACACTGTGATGGGAGCAACCCAACACATTGTTATAAACCTAAACTACCTGAGGCTATGCAGGAAGGACAAAACGGTGTTATCCTACCGTAAATCACACCTACCTCAAACTTCTCAGATGTTCTGAAGTATGTTATTCGGTTCTGAATTAAGTGCCCATGGACCATCAAGTCTGTGTTCCTGTCTCTTCGTTTCTCAGGAGAGGCCTGCGAGGTGGCTCAAGGATTACAGCTGGCTCTGTGCTCAGAGATCATGCCTAGTGGGGCTCAGGTGAGCATATGGGGTGCTGGGAATTGAATCCCGGTTGACTGAATGCAAAGAAAATGCCCTATCTGCTATAGTATTTCTCCAGCATCTACAGCTGTAATTTTTAAACATTTCAAGCAAAGTCCTAGGACTGTAGAGATCATACAGGAGTTAAAGTGCTTGCCTTGCATGCAGCTGACCATGGTTTGATGTCCAGCACTGTAAAATAAAGCCTTCATGTGTTGTCGTAAATATAAGCAATCTGGAGACAAAACATAAAACATTACCACCAGGGGCTGGAGCAATAGCACAGCGGGTAGGGCGTTTGCCTTGCACGCGGCCAACCTGGGTTCGATTCCCAGCATCCCGTATGGTCCCCTGAGCACCGCCAGGAGTGATTTATGAGTGTAGAGCCAGGAGTAACCCCTGTGCACTGCCAGGTGTGACCCAAAAAGCAAAAACAAAAAAACATTACCACCATATGAAAAAAATCAAGAACAGAAATTAGAGAGTACAGTAGATAGGGTGCTTGCCTTGTATGCTGTCAACTCAGGTTTGATTCCTGGCACTGCACAGGGTTCCCTGAGCCCTCTAGGATCCCAGAGCACAAAGCTGGGGATAAATGACTAGAGTGGCTAGTGTCATCTACCTTTCTCCCCCGCCCCCAAAAAGGGAAGTCATATTGCATTATCCCAAAGTTTATGACACTACAGAAAAGGAAACCTATTTATTTATATATTTATTTTTGTTTTGGGGCCACACGCAGCTGTGCTCAGGGATTACTGCTGACTCTGCACTCAGAGGTCATACCTGGTGAGCTTAGGGGACCATATGGGGTGTCAGGGATCAAGCCTGGGTCAGTCACGTGGAAGGCAAATGCTCTACCAGGTGTACTATCGCTCTGACTCCAAGTGAACCTATTTAGAGTAAACTCATTGAAGTTTGTATTATCTAATTTCAGACTAAAGCATAAGAAGTAACAATTGCCTGAGCTATCCAGGTAAAACATGCTGGGTGACTAATTGCTATGCTAGCTGTTGAAACAATCAATTTCTATTAAAAAAAGCTGATCATGCTATATCAAGTTTGCAGCCTCTAGAGCTCTGTAAAATGGAGAAAACAATCTTCACTTTTTGGGGGCTGTGTGCACGCACAGCAGTGCTCAGGGCTTCTCTGTGTTCAGGGATCACTCCTGGGTATCAAACCCAGGTCCACTGCATGCAAGGCAAGCACTCTACCTGCTCTACTACTGCTCCAGACCCAAAATATCTTCACTTGAAAATGTGTTTCTGTACAGGGGATAATTATTGTTATCATGGCTGGTTCTCTTGTCTAGTGATAAATGAGGGAAAGCAGTCATATTTTTCAAAGAAGCAGAAAAAATATTATGCCAGGGTTGAAGCATTATGTGAATAACGTGGAGAATCCAGGGGTCGGAGAGATGACTCAAAGGGCTCAGCACAGGCTTTGCTGGCAGGAGGCCTGGATTCAATCCCCAGCACTGCTTGATTCCTCTAATCACTGTCAGGAGTGAGCCCTGAGCACAGAGCTGGGAGTAGCCTGGGCAAAACCTGTTTTGACCTCCAAACAAAGAAACAACAAAAGAAAATGGAGGCACTGGAATGATACTACAGCATAGGTAGGGCACTTTCCTTGCACACCGCCAAATTGGGTTCAATCACCTTCATCATATATAGAACCCTAAACCCTGCCAGGAGTGATTTTTGAGCACAGAGACAGGAGTAAGCCCTGAGAATTGCCAGGTGTGCTCCCCCCAAAAAAAAATCTGAAAAAAAGAAAATAATATGGAGAACCAAAAGCCCTCCTGGATCAACAGTCTTTTCTTTTTTTTCTGCTTGTGTCTTGAGGGCCACAAAATGATTTCTCTGAGGCTGGAGAGATAGTACAGTGAGTATGGCACTTGCTTTGCATGCAGCTGATTTGGGTTTGATCTCTAGCATCCCATATGGTCCTCTTAGCCCACCAGGAGTGATTTATGTGCTGAGTCAGCTGTAAGCCCTGAGCACCACTGGATGTGGTACAAAACCCAAAAAATAAGAATAAAAAACTTGTAATATTTAAAATAACTTACTCTATACACAAACTTGGGGAACAGAGGCTGTGTGATACTTTTACAAAAACCATGTATCTGGGGTTGGAGCAATAGTAAAGCAGGTAGGGCACTTGCCTTGTATGCTACCATCCCAGGTTTGATCCCTGGCACCCCAGCATCACCAGGAATGATCCCTGAAAAAAAACCTAAGACCAGGGACTGAAACGATAGTAGAGTGCTTGTCTTGCACACAGTCAACCCAGGTTTGATCTTCTGTACTACGTATTGTTCCCTGAACCCTGCTAAGTGTGATCTCTGAGCACAGAGACAGGAGTAAGCCCTGACCACTACCAGATGTGGCCCCCAAACAAAAACATCCACCCCCCAAATAAAACAGAAAAAAATTTTCAAAAGGTATGAAGGAAGAAAGTGGCAGGAGGGTTTGTGATAGAAGTAAATCTTACAGCATGAATCGGAGCAAGAATACAGTGAGTAGGGAGTGTTTGCCTTGCACACCTATGATCTGGGTTCAATTCCCAGCATCCCATATGGTCCCCTGAGCACCTCCATGAGTATTTACTGAACACTGAGCCAGGAGTAACCCGAGAATCTCAAGGTGTGGCCCAAAAACAAAAAAAATTCTTATGGCATGAATTAAACATGACTCTACTGGCTCAACTTTCCACACTGCATTATTCTATCATCACTGTCTTTAACTGTTAAATGGTATATATAGTTTAGGGCGTGGATCGAAATCTCCCTTTAACGACAAAGAGACTACAGAGACTGCAAACAGCAAGCAGGATTTATTGTAAGACTGGCTAGCCAGGGTCGAGCTACCTACGCGGACACGCAGGTCCAGCAGTTGGGTAAGACCCCGAGCTTCTCCAAAGGAGATCTTATATAGTATGCCTTCACCGCCAATACAGCAGAGCCTGCGCATTTCATAGCCAATAGATTTGTAACACATGCTTTCCTAACCAATCCATTTAAAAGTACATCACTCCTTAGCCTAGAGTTTAAAGATCATTATTTGCGACAGTGCTTAGGAACATCCTGGTTTTTAGGGCAGACATGGGTCTTGTGAGAGACATATGGTCTGACCCCCACCCTTCTTGTGACTTGCAACTCGGGGCACCTGTCTCCAAGTTCCTTGCTCAGGGGCAGAAAAACAAGTTATTTTGCAATGCGGGTTCCTGTAAAGAGGATCTGAAAAGGCTATCTAGACCTGTTCCTCACATTCTTAATCTAGGAAAGACAAGTTGGTCAGCGTTCATCTGATTCAGGGCCTCGTTCCTCAAAATATAACATGGCAAATGGTGGTGGGGGGCTTGGGCATGTCAATGGCTCTGGTGGGCAGTAATTTTGTACACAATATCAGAAACCTAAACACTATTGTAAATCTATCACCTAAACTATAATTTAAAAAGTTTATCAATATGGACAGCATTGGAGGATCTTCTACTATCTCTCAGCCCCCTTATCATACCTGAAGTATTTGTTTTGTAAAGGGGCTGGACAGGTCATACAATAGATTAGACAGTAGATAAGGTGCTAGTCTTGCACGTGGCCAACCCTGATTCTATCCCCAGCACCTTTTATGGTCCCCGGAGCCCCATCATCCTGATGGGTGGCTTTGTGTGATTCCTAAACACAAAGCCAGGAGTAGGCTCTGGTGTGGCCACTGGTGTGGCCCCAAACAAATAAACAAAACCACCAAACATCAACAAAAAGGATGGCTTGGGGCTGGAGCGATAGTATAGTGGTTAAGGTGCTTACCTCCCATGTGGCTGACGCAGGTGCTGTCCCCGGAATGCCATATTGCCCTGCAGCCTCACCAGGAATGATCTCTGAATAGAGCCAGGAGTAATACTGAGCACAGCTGGGTGTGAACCAAGAACATAAAAAGCACGTGCTGGAGAGATAGTACACAGGGCAAGGTACTTGCTTTCCATGCAGCTGACCAAGGTCCTATTACCGCAAGCCCATATGGTACTACCAGAACAGTCAGCAGTGATCCCTGAGCACAGCCAGGAAGGAAAAAGCACTGAGCATACCCGAGTGTGGTTCAAAAACCAAAGGGAAAAATGATTAGGGGCTGGAGCCATAGTGATGTCGGTGGGCCCCACGGGTGACTTATGTGAAGTGGGGAGGAGAAAGACAGCCACTTTCTCCTCACCCGCCTCTGCCACCCGGAACCCTGGGTAGGCTAGGACCGGTAAAGTCTGCAGTGAGCACCTGCTCGGCACGGGCCTGAGCCCCGCCAGCCCCACGAGGTGGCCGTCAAGCCACACCTGAAGTCCGCTTGATCTTCTCGGCACGGGAGTTAATCCCCGCCACCCGATTGCTCGGGGAGCCACGGACTCAAGCTGGGGCGAGAATTTGCTCTTCGCAGGAAAGGAGAGACCAGTCCCAAGCCGTACCCGAGGTTTCTGGGGTTCTTGTCTCGCTCGCAGAAAAGAATTTCAGGAGTAGACGAGCAGTGAAGTAACAGGTTTTATTTGGAGGCTTTTGGAGAGGGAGAGAAAGGGATAAGCAGATAAGCGGGAGAGAGAGAGAGAGAGAGAGAGAGAGAGAGAGAGAGAGAGAGAGAGAGAGAGAGAGAGTAACGCGTCCAGAGGGAACGCGGGCTTCTCCGAGGGTGGAGAGAGCGCCAAGTGGGCTCTCGAGCTGGTTCTTATAGATCCTTCTGACTCAGAATGTTCTGGAATCTCCTTGGGGCTGTGTCGCTGGAGTCAACCGGATAGAAAGCGGGTTCGAGAGTCATCTGACTTGGAATGTCCTGGAATCTCCTTGGGGCTGGGTCGCTGGAGTCAACCGGATTGAAAGGGGGTTCTCGGAAAGGAGGAATTTCATGGGGAGGAGGCCCATATCTTCAGGGTCTGGGGATGGTCTTATCAAGTCCTTATTCTCTGTCTCCACAGGGTGGGTTGGTCCTAGAATTCTTCTATGAGACGTTGTTTCATTGCAG